CATGATTCACGTCATATTAAAGCCATCAAACCATCCAGTGACCTTTCATGCTCTTTGGGTGGCGGCATTGTCATCCTGGAAGAGACCACCTCCGTCTTTCATGACAGGATGAAGGTGATCCACAGAACAGCTTGGTATTGATTGGCAGCGATACTTCCCTCTAACAGGGGTGAGGGGAGGCATTCAGGCCTCGACGTACGTCAGACATTCAGTCGCCCACGTGTTCAAAACATGGAGCAGAATGACTCATAAGACTTTTTTTCCTACATCTCTGTGGCCCGCTGCCGATGGTTTTGGGAACCACTGAACTTTCAAATGTGCTTTCATCTCTTCAGTGAGGAGTGAATGCACTGCAGCCCCACTGACCACACGCTCTGACCATGTTTACTGATGTCTTTTTATTGTAGATTTAAACACAGATGTCACTTCAGCCACTGTTTGCATTTAAAGGCTCTCCAGCTGAAGCTCCTGCCACCCGAGCCCCAACCCAGAATCCTCTTAAAAATCTGCTTAAATCATTTTGAGTCACCTCTGGACTTCTAACATGTCACATAGCAGGACTGATATTATTATTATTATTATTATTATGATTACATCATGCAGCTCACCAGAACAGAACCATAACAGGTTTTTCCTTTAATTTGTCTGTATCTATATTTTTTCTTTCTTGTGTTTCTACATTAGAACTTGTCCTTATTTTTATATTTCCTGTGTGTTTGTGTGTTCTGACAGCGCCTTGTTGCCTTTGTGTGATCTCCAGTGACGCTCCGACGCCTCTCCTGGATTTACGGCCGTGTTATCACTAACATGTGTTTGTGGACCAGTGTAAACACATCCTCTGTGACTTATTACCTCGCATCTGGCGTTTTGGGAGTTTTTAGAGGAAGATTAAAAGAGTTTACGAGTGAAAATCAGCTGTGGAGGTGGATATTTTTTTCCCCTTCTCGCATAATATGATGATATAACGTTCAGTTTGTCTTTTTTTTTTTTTTTTTGGTTTAAGGAAAAAAAAGGATCGCTTGGCTGAATATGTGGCTGTCTCGTGGCTCCCACTGTTGGCTGGCAGCGGCTTCAACTTGAGCAGTTGTGAGTTCCGCAGCCGAACCACTGGTGCGTAATGGTGCACGACTGGACGGCAGATGTTTCACCAGCGGGACACTCTGTCTCTGCACACTTTATTTGAACCCTTCCAAGTTTTTTTTTTTTTTTTTTTCCCCTTCAGCGTAGGCGTGCGTTAACTCGGTGTCCTGCCTTTTTAAAAGTTATCTAAGGAAGGAAGAGGAGATAAAGAAAGAAAGAAAAAAAAAGAAAAGAAGTGGACTACTTCTTCCAAAACCGTCCCGGTTTTTACCGGGGAGTTGTCGTCATCAGCACCCCAGATATCCCCCCTCTCCAGCTCCCTAAATGGATGGGGCAGTCTTGGTCTATGCAGTTCAACGCAGGCCAAAAGATTGGAAACAACTTGTGAGTATCCGTCAGTTTGGCGTCTAAGAGGGGAAACGCTCAGAAATGCCCGGCCGCCCCGCTGGAGCTCAGCTCTGAGGACTTTTTTCTCCTGCAGTTTGTGCGTTTTTCAGGAGGAAGGACTCTGCTCAGAGTTTACAACAGAAAGGAAAAGTTAGCGCTGAAGTGGCAGCTCTCACAACACAAGCCCTCGCTATGGATTCTATGTATTTATTGATGTGCTTTTCACTCAGTCAAGTCTTTTTGGAGCATATTTTGGCTGCAGAGACGCATGGTGAGTAATCCACTTAATCTCCCCTTTCTATTTATTTATTTATTTTTTTTGCCATGTCTTTAGAAAACTGCACAGCAAAGTCTAACAGTCTAGAAGTAATGATTTGAAATGAAGCTTTGTGCTTACTGATGGATGAACATAATAATCTGACAGCCTTTACTGTTCCGGATGAACCAAATCAATACAGGGTGTTGCTGGATTTCCACTCTAGGCTATATTTTACTTTTCATAAAGAGAACATTCATGCTCCGATGCCTCTGTGTGCCATATAGAATCATATTTACCATATTTTTCTCAGTGCTGCATGTCTCTGTAATGATCCAGCTTTGTAGGAACTTTCTTGGCACAGCTCTGTGAACGTGATTCTCACTTGACACTATCTGTCCCATCAGAAAAACTCTCTGGAAAGTTAAGTGAATATGGTCTTATCGTGCCATTCAGCACAGACTCCCGTGGCCGGTACATTTCTCACGTGGTCTCTGCTGGAAGTGGAAGTAAAGGTGCTGCTGCCGCCGCCGCCGCCGCTACTGATGCCACCTCAGCCTTTGGCAGCAGAAGAAGGGTGGCCCGCGGTGCCCCCGAGATGCCCTCAGTCACCCCTGCCTCGGCTCAGCACTTGTTTTTCAATGTCACTGTGTTTGGGAAGGAGCTGCACCTCCGCCTGAGGGCCAACAGGAGGCTGGTGGCCCCGCGGGCTTTTGTGGAATGGCAAGAGGACTTTGAGGAAAAGGCCAAGGAGCGGATCCACGGGGACTGTGTTTTCACCGGGGACGTGAGCGACATGCCGGAGGCCTCTGTGGCCATCAGCAACTGTGACGGACTGGTAAGTGACTGATGCACACTCTGAACGCTGGTCTGATGATGCAGCAGCAGGAAATGTGCTTTTTTCTCTTTTATTCATTCACATTCATTCTTATTTTTTACTTCCACATGCATCAGAAGCTTACATAAGACCTGCATTAAAGCAGCGCTCCAGCTGAAATCCGTCTGTTGAGCATTGAAAGGTGATTCAAAGCTTGTAGTTCGATCTGCTGTAGAGAAACTGCAGTCATATCAACATGACAGCACCCTCAGGTGCTCATCAAACCGCTCCTGCAGCCTAACTTCTATGCTGCACATCCGTATGCTTTGTATCTGTGGACCTTTCATACATTTTTCTTAAACTCCCCACGTGCCAGCAGATGCATGGGGCAGGTGGAGAGCCTGGAAGCAGCTCTTCTGGTAGTTAAGAGCTCCTCAGGCTGCCAATAAAAGAACAGGCAAGTGCTCCAGAGCTGATGATGGGTAATTAGTCCATTGTTGAATCTGGCAGCTGTGTCTGAATCCTTTCATATTTCTTCAAACCATTGGATCATTTGCTGAGTGTGCACTATGCCGGTGTCGCTTTACTTAAACCTGCCTCAGCGCTGCACAGAGCTGATGGGAGCCTGTCAGTAGGCGACATGTTGGTCCATTTTTAGACTGAGAATGTCGTTTAGTGCAGCTTTAATAGCTAGAAATGGCTAAAAATCTATATGAAAAGGTAATGCTGTTGGTCCACAACCCTAAGAAGGAATATATGTACCCTTCATATGAGTGTTTGCTTTGAAATGCAGTAAAAAAAATAAAAAATGGAAACGATGGACCTCCACTTGAGGCATCCGTCTGGCTCCATGTCACTGCTGGTAATGAAGTCTACTAGAGTGAAACCACTTCAGAAGTGACCTGCTTCTTCCTCTGTGGGGTTGCATGTCCTTCATTACCACCAAATCTACTCCTCATTCTGCTCTAACGCGTTCAGCTGAGGGTCATCGTGGCCTTTCAAGCGGCGCTGTGCCGCGGCAGAGCGGCGCGTCGGGAGTCCAGCCACTAATGGGTGTTTGCAGTCGAGCAAATTAGAGTGAATTTCCAAACAACACGTGACGCTCGAATTGGCAGGTTGACCGAACGGAGGCTGGCCTGAGATTTTCTGACAGAAATGACACGGCGGTGGAGATAACCTCGTGACCCAGGAGCTTCTGAAACCCTCCGACTGAGAAGCACCTTTATGCTCAGGAGCTTTGGGTTCTGTGTCGTCCTGCACTTTCCCCGGTGAGGGATCGATTCAGTTTAATCTTAATTAAAGTGAGAACACTTTATTTACTGATTCCAGTTGGCAGCAATTATTGCTTCTTTTTTTTTTTTAACCTCAAACCACATTTCATCTCCTGACACTTGAGGAGGTTTTTGTGGCATCAGCACAACACAGAAGGAAGAAACAATGGACGCCACTGTGTCGTTGTCATCATCCTCCGAGGTTTTTTTATTCCCGTATTAAAAGAATAAATCATGCTGAAATTAAGGGAAAATCTTGTCATGATGGGTAGCGCTGCGCCTTCTTAATCTAATAACAGTTTGTGGTGTGCGGACAATGCTTCGCTGTGTTCTTTAATCACAACGTCGTTTTCTGAAAGACAGCTGTGTTCCCGTCAGTGACTTAACAAGTGACACAATGGCCTTGTGCAGCCCAGTGACCACAGAAAAGGTTTTTGCATATTCTGTTGATCTGTAGGTGCACAAGGATGCTGTGTTCCTGTTTTTCTGTTTTCAACAAGGCCGCATGCAGAAGTCAGATGTACTTATATTGAGATGTAGAGATGTTCTGCTCGCTTCTGCAAACTTTCGTTCTGCTTGCTTCTATTTTGCTGATTTTTATTCTGCAAGCACTTGTTCCTGTTCTGCTACGTGTGCGCTGGTACCTGCTGTTGTGTTGGCGTCGGTTCTGCTAGATTTTGCTACCATTAGCCACATTCTGATAAACCCCACAGTGCTGCAGAATCACTGAGCGTTACGTTACGCTGTGATGCCTCCAGTTTACTGTGCAGATTTACTGCATTATGCAAACACGTCTTTGCTGTAATTCCAACCTTTATTTAGACAAAACGCTAACACCAAGCTAACGGCGTGTTTCCTTCTGCACAGTGAGACGCTGTGAGTGAGCGGCCACACTGGGGTCATCCAAGGCAGTGAACACAACAGTGACCATATTGATGGAATGAGACAGCAGATCGATGGCCGGTCCAGTTTTAGCGAGCAGATAACAAGTCAATTCTGTCACAGCGGACTCCTTCAGAATGTAAATGACAGAAAAAGCATAAAGATGTTAGAGTAAGAGTCGTAACAAAGATAAGAGTCAAGTCACAGATCACGTTCAGCAGAGATGAGACTTGAGCAGGTTCATCCAGTGTACCAAACATAATTTGATTTTTCTGGGGATTTGAATCCTCTTCAGGCCTCGTCCACACGCAGCAGGGTTTTTGTAAAACCGAACATCCTGCCCCCTCCGTCTAGAAAAAAACTAACGTCCACACCACCTCATTTTTAGAAAAAACATTCATCCACCCCTAAACCGCATTAGTACGTTGTTGTTCAGCACGTTCGTATTCTACGTGAGGATGTAAGAACTCCGACGACAGGAGCGACGACCGGGACGTACGGAAATCATCACGCTGTTCCTCCAGGAGCACGATTTTAAAGTTCTCCCACCAGCTGGCAGTGGTCTGACCCAAAACCAGCGTCGGCATCTTTGATGGAGAACTCAGACGTGGAACGGCAAGGTGGTGTAAAATTACCGTCCTTAACATCGTTCTACGCCCGTGTTCTTGTACGTGGAGCGGTATCTGGGTCTGGACCAGAGACAACACGGTTCTGAGGGCGTCCACGCTGTTTCCAAATGTAAACACGGGTCACGTATGTGATGTAAAGAACAGATTTAGTCACAGGCAGTGATGTTTACAAACCTAAAACCTGGTTATTGACGTCTACATGCAGACGCATTAACGGAGGATTCATAGATCTCCACTTTGGTCGGAGGTTTTGAAAGCATCGCTTTAAATGCCGTAAATCTGCGTTTTCATGTGGATGACAAAACATCTTGGTTTTGTGAGATACCTGCTACGTGTGGACGAGGCCTCAGTGTGGTGGGCTTTATGTTGTTGGTGTGGTCTGTTCAACCAAATTGCAATAAATGCCTTTTTTCTTTTTATATTCCTTTCAGTAGAATAAAGTTCCCTGTAAAACTGCTGACGCTGCAGTCTGTGTGTTACGCAGGGCTTCAGTGACACTGCATTTGGACAGACATGCTGACTTCTTCAAATGTCATGTTCCAAAACTTGGACCATCGCAAGCAGCGTTTCATTCACCTCTGTTTTACTGTGGTGGCGGCAGATGTCTGCGACCAGGCGAGCAAAACAAAAACTATCTGGAAGGCTGACTATCACTGAGTGCATGTGGGGAGGGGAGGAAAAAAAGAAGAAGTTTTGTTTGTGATTTGGGTGAACTTACCCTTTAGAGGCTGCAGTCAGACTCTTCAGAATATTGTCCATGTGTTTCCTTGCATCAAAGCCAACATAAACACGGACCTGTCTGCGCATGCCGGGGTGTTCGGGGAGCATTTGAAGTTGCACAGACGGCTCGCAGGCAAATTATTTAGTCTGACATGTATGCTTGATGTGGAAGGACGCAGAGGAGATCATGTCTGATGAAAGGAGCAGGTTTGAAAGGTATAAGGACGTCAATCGCACGCTCGGGTCAAAACAAATGCGGGCCAGATCTTTGAGATGCCTTGACGTAGGCCTTCCACCAGCACTTAGTCTTCAAAGGTAGTTTGATGGGTTCCCTCGTAGAGAATAAACACTCCTGAACTGGGGCAGATGCATATCACAGTCGCGCTGGTGTCTTTTTTAGACGTGTGCATTTATGGAAACAATCACACCAGCAGTCCTAACTCTCCGGCTTGCAGTTGTTTCAGCTGTTTTAACTGAGTTTCAGTGATAAGCGTTGCTATTACAGCGTCCTCGCACAGATAACTCGGTCCCTTCCCCCAGACGTGCAGGATTTACGGCATTCCAAGCTCATGACAGATAAATCATGCACGCAGTAAAGCTGCATATTAATCTGCTGTCGGTATATTTGGTCTCGCAGCGCCACCAGATTGTCAGCTGAGGTCGCAGAGAAATGCCTCCCAAAGCCAGACCTGCACTTTCAGTTTCATTTTGATTTCTAACTGACCGGCGTCTCGGTGATATCTTCCTCTGACCCCTGCTAGACGGCAACAGCTGTGAGCTCGAGACAAGCACGAACTATTGTTGCGGAGCGATGAGTGATGGCTATGATTATACCGCCGCTGCTCATGTGTTGGGAATTAGCACAGATGACGGCCTGATTGAATTACATGTGTGATGGAAACACGAGTGCCAGATAACCCCGGTAGGAAGAGCGCTATTTCTGTGCCTATCGGTTAAAACGAGCCAGAGCCACCCGGCAACAGGCAGAAGTCAGTTGGATAACTTTATTTTTGAGGTGGTGGTGGTGGTGGTGTGAGGGGGGACAGTTTTCCATCCGTCGGAGATGGAAAAATGTCTGTCTAAATTGTTCTATTCATGAATGTTTGCAGGAATTCTGCAGGAATTTTGCACCGAGCTGGTCCCGGTCCAGTATTCCAGGATCCTCCGGTGTTCCAGTACTCTGCTGGCACGGAGGCGAAGTCACTAAATTAAGAGCTCCGTCAGTGGAAGCCCAACAACTCAGCCAGCGACGTGATTTATTTCCTCTCACTCTGATCCTTATTTGTAGCAGCTACAGTATGTCTGTCTAAAAAGGTGCTCATTCAAACACACACTGACACACAGTAAATGCTGCTACGACTCTTTGTTGTGGACGACGTCTGCTCTATTTCTGAATTATTCTGAATCACTACTACAGCTTCTACAGCTAAAAGGCCTACAGTTTAACATGTAATACTACTTCTACTCCTCTGACTACACCTTCTTCTTCTCCTGCTACTACAATAACTACTACAACTAT